TTCTGGGAGTTGAAGTCCACCCATCTTCAAGTTGCTAAGGTTGGGAAACACTGCTCTAAATGGTATAAATGGATAAAGTATCAAAAACGAAAGAGTTTTGCAGGGTTGGATAAATTGGTTCATTTCTTGGGGAGAGAAAGTCCCCAAGGCAGTATCTCTCAGGAAACGGACAAATGGCTGGAGAAGAATTCCCCCAGGGTTAAAATCTCTTCCCATCCCTCCTCGCTGATCCTCAAGGCTGGAGCCCTGTTTGTAATCTACGTACAGAAAAAGGACCTTTGTTTGATCCTCTGTTCGCCCCCTGCCCTGGTTCACCTTTCATGCAACCAGGGAACCGGTCCTCCACTGCCTCTTGGAAGGCTTTGGGGTTCATCCAGTTGCCCAGTTGCCCTTTGACTCCTGGGGCAGTGATGGGTATCGTGTCCCTCTGGCTCTCAGTAACAATGACAGTTCGGCTCTCCACCCGGGCTACATCCTTGGGGTCGGTTTTAGCCAGCCAGCTGCGGAAGAAGAGAAAGAAAAGGATCATGGGGGGGGGGGTTTGGTGCCGGTGTTCGCAACGCATCTCTTCCCCAGCAGGTGGCACCGAAGGGCAGTCCAGATGTGCAGGACGCCAATTCCCATCATCCCCAGGGGTTATGGGAGTTGGCATTCCATCCCCACGGAGAACCGCTGGATGGGCAAGGCCGCCCCCAAAGATGCCCACTTACCAGTTCTCGTATTTGGTCAGCGGCTTAATGATGCCTTCGGATTCCAGGAAGTTCAAGATCTTGCTGTTTTCCTTCTCCGTCCCATCGCAGATGTGGATGCTGTCAGGCTGGCAGAGCCGCGCGCCTTGCTCGACAAACTCCTGGACCCGCCCTGAGAGCTTGGCCAAGTCTCCATGGAGCACCCGTGGAGCATGGGCCCAGCGCACCGGCACTGCAGACCAGCTTCTTAGAGAGAAGGCTCCTAGTCTGCAAAGAAGGGAAGAGGGGGCTGGCGTGAGTCAAGAGGCCCGAACCCCCCCCAAAGTAAGTGTGTGTGTGTGTGTGTGTGTGTGTGAAGGTCTGGCGCAGTCAAGATGTAGCCGATTGTTTCAGGTGCCCCCAAATCAAACATCTCTCTTCTCTTTGGAGAGAGTTCACCGGCATGTGTAAATCTTGCCCAAGTTTGCACTGGCTCAGAAGCCCAGTGTGTGAACTTTGTGCAAGCACAGGGTGAGGCAACCTCTCAGAAATACCTCTGTGTGCAAAACCAGCCAGGAGGCTGCAAAAGGACACGTAGAAAGGAAAAACTGCAGGCGTAGATAAACAGGCTTGAATTAAATTAAACCAAACTTAAGTAAATGGACCCGCTTGATCAAAAGAGAGCGAGCGAACGTCAGTGCAAGAGGCAATACGCTCTTCCAAGTATGCACTTAGGGATACTTCTACGCAAGCCTCCTCCATGCGTGTACCTGCGTGTTGGCTATCGCGAGTACACACAGGAGTATGAAGACATTTTCCTGGCGGCCTCATTTTGCTGGGCAAGAGACATTTTTGTGTCCACGGCTGCCAGCTATGCAAATCAGAGCAAAAGCATGGCTTCACAATCTGATCTTAAAAGCTGCTGATTTTTCACATGCAAGGAAAGACGGTTCAGAGTCGCTGAGTTCTGCACATGCTCTATAAATGCACGGGCGTGTTTAAGCTTGGCCATCTGGCTTTCTCCTACAGGCCATGTCCCATCCAGAGCAAGGTGAAACGAAGGGTACAACCCGTCTGAGAAAACTGGGGGTGGGAAACAGCGAAGCTGTCTCAGTAATTAGATATCCACAACCAGATTTAATCTGTTTTTGGTGCAGCATGGGAGCCTTTGAGGAACAGGGGAAGGTGTGCAATAAACCTTTGCATGTTTTCCCACAATGCACAATTCTCACATGGGGGGGGACACAAAGATGCACACTTTGGACATGCGAAGAGTTTCTGCTCAGGTATCGCTGGTGTGGGAAAGTTGATATGTTCTCTTCTCCAAAAGCTTTCTCTTGGGTTTGTAAGAATAATCAAACCGTATGCACAAGTTACACACGCTAGTACAAACATGCATTGGGAAACTTGCTTGCACTAGCAGGCATATGCATAAGTGTATGCAGTTCCCACACCTGGTTCTCCGACACAGAGCCAAGGCTGCTCACGAAATGCCCACCCCATTCCCCATACGGATCTGCTGCTGTTTTATTTTCATTTTATTTTAGAGACAGACGGCTGTCCAACTCTGGATGCATGGAGACCACAGTGTTGCAACGTGCCTGCAAGATCCCTCCCTTCGGGCACACTCGTGAGCCTGGGCGTGCAAAAGCCCAGTCCGGGTAAAGCCCAGCGGCTTGATTGCACGCTGACCTCTGACTCCAATTTCCTGCCCTGAAGGATCTTCGGCGGTGATTCCCCGCAACCCAGCTGCAGCCGGTTGGGCTGGGCCTCCAAACGCTCCTGATCCTTGCACGCTGGATCCGGGGTGGAAGGGAGCTGACGGCACCCCTCCGCCCCCTCCAATTGGCTGCCCGCCCAAGGGAGCAAGGCTGGCGAGGCACCAAGGGCCCGAGTAAAGAACAAGGGGCAAACGCACAGCGTGGACTTTCACCCGAACCGAAGCTTTTTTTACAAAGCAGGAAAGTAGGTCGCGGCCGTGCCCCTGGAGCACCGCTGAGCTGGGATGGAGGAACATGGTGTTCCTGGGTTAACCAGAAGCCCTCTGCTCCCCTTCACCCTTGTGCATCACCCCGTTGCCGCAGCGAATTTTCTTAATTAAAAAGAACCAGGCGTGCCACCACACTCTGCAATTTCACAGGGCCCTTGCGGGGATGTTTGCAGGCCACCCATTTTTTTGCAATACGATGTAAATCTCACTGATAGATCGTCCAGCCTTTCCAGATATGCCATTTATTTCCAGCCTGATTTCTCCTTTGAAAAACAGGAACAGGGATGGCCCGTCTCATTCCCTGAGAAGAAGGCCAAATGAACTCATCGAGAAGCCAATTAGATAGGTTTAGCGCTTGGAAAGGAGACCACTAGGAAATCCCACGTCTGGACGCTATACTGGAAAGTCAAAAAACATTGTGGGAGAAAACCAAGGCACACTATTCCAGATGCTTGCCCAGAATGTGTCCGTGATCCAACCAGCTTAGCTTGAAGGGGAGATGTTTCCTTTTCAAATTTTGTATAGCCTATTTACAGTACAAATTATTAAGAAGGGAGTGAATTTAGAGTTAGGAATTTAGACGTTCCTATCTGCAGTGCATGACACTGTTCCCAACAATCCTGCAACTTAGGTCACTCTTCACCCCATTTTACAGGCTGGGAAACTGAGGCTTATGGCAAAGACAGGGCCACGGTTCTTTGTCTCCCACCACCGCGCCTTGCTGGCTTTTGATTTATTTTTCGTCTAAAGCAAACAAGCTTTTCAAAAGCCCCCACGGAGGTTGCCCAACTGCCTTTACTACGCGCCCACGAATTCTGCAGCCAGGCTGTGCTTCAGTGGGGGATCACAATGTGACCATTTGCATCCAAACACCACATCCGGGATATGGGTGAAGGCGAGACTTCAGGCACACGTAACCCAAAGTCACAATTTCTTGGGTCAGGCTGGGTGTAGGAACTGGGTGAGAAACCGAGACGGCAGGACGAGGAGGCAGCGTCTGTGTGTGCGTAAATGGCGGGAGCGGGGGCGAGAAGGAGGAAGTCAAAAGTATCTTCCGGGTTTCTCTGACAGCCCAGATTAACTGTATCCCTACTGTATCTGAGTGGGAATCATTGCCAAGGAAATAAAAGAGGAGGAAAAATAACATGAGTTTAGGCACGGATCTGTGGGTGAAAGGTTACGGAGGGGGGGCTAGTCCCTGGTGAGGAGGGTGACGTGGAGCAGAAGCAACCAGAAGAAGCCAAGCCTGAGTTCTTCTAGCAAACAAAGGGGGCATGCCCTAAGGAACAGCCGGACATGCAACCGGAGCAATCTGGCTTAGAAGACTCGGTCTTCTTGCTCTCCCCCATTCGCACAACCCGGGCAGGCAGGGAGTCCCTGGTTTTCTCCATGCACCATCAACTTCCCCGCTGGGTCCTGCCAACAAGAGGGGCTAGCAGACAAGCCAGCAGCAGGAAGGGGGGAAATCTGAGCATGCAACGGGGGCGGGGGGCAGGAGCAGGGAAATAAGCAAGGGAGGATGAGGATGATGCCAGGCGGCTGCCAGGTGGCAGGTGGGAACAGGAGACTGGAGAACCAGCCAAGGTCAGGGCCGTGGGGGCGTGGGAGGACTCCAGGGAGGCAGGGGCAAGGAGCCAGAAAGGCGGCTTGCAGCCATTCTCGATGGTACCGGGCATCGTCTTATCCCCATTTCACAGGCAGGAAACTGAGGCTGGATCTCTCTGCAGGAAAGAGGGGGAAGGACAGCTCTCCTACCCGGGACCACCAGCAAGGGCTCTGGTGCCCCCGAGCCATGCAGGTCTCCACGCAGACGGCTCCAAAGGAAATGCTCTTTGCCTGGAGGGGCTGGGGCAGCCCCGGCCAGCCGTCCGACCCCTTCCCCTCCCAAGGGGGACGCCACGGGTCGGGGGAGGGGACGGGAGCCCCGAAGGGCGCGGGAAGGCGAGGATGCCCGGGCCAAGGGGCGCTGGAGGCC